AGCAGAAAGCCTCATCTTTCTCCCACAGAACATCTGGTAGTTTTGAACTGCTGACCTTGCAGTTCACAGCCAGATTCGTAACCACTACGGTACTCACTCTGAAGGTAGTTCATGGGGGCCCTTGATGGAGCTGTTTTCAGTGTCTGCCAGGACCACAGAAAAGCTGGGGGCAGGGTGACTGGTTAAATGCTAATCTGGTGGCTCAGTATGTTTTGTAGTTCTGGAGCTGAGCCCACCTGAATCCCGGCATCAAAGCAGCTCACCAAAGTGGTACAGCTGGCTCCCAACTCCCACTGGCATGGCTCCCGGTCATGGCTCTGAACTTCTGGAGAGCAGAGTTTGTACCAGGAGAGCATGGAGAAAAAGAAGAAATCACATCTTTTCCAACACCCATGTGAAATCTGCTCTGCCGGGCCTTCTTCTGCTGCCAAAGCTACTCACAAGATGGTGGATTCACGTCCAGTCAGCCGTTCACCAGTCAGTCTCCCTGTCTCACTGTCTCTGCTCAGCCTCTCCTTCCAGCAAGCACTCCATCCACCTCTCTAACCTTTCTTCTTAAATTCAGGGTGCCAGAATTTTCATCTGTGTCTGTTTTATTTTGAATCTTCTTTATTATAGAGGGTCAGATTAGCATCTGTACTGGTCATTGAGTTAAAAATTTTTTTTTTCTCTCATTTCTACAAGTTCTATCTGGTGCTTGTTCTACTTGCTCTATCACTTTTTAGTTTCCTATTTCTGGAGCTATTTTCAAGTCTGTTTTATTTAACCACAGTAAGAGTAGTTTTATAATTTTTCTGATGAACACTTAATAGTATATTTCTGCTGTTTCTGTTGCTCCTTCTGAGTCTCATTTGTGGTATCATGTTTGTGTGCTTGACTATCTTTTACTGTGTGCTGCTCATTACCCTTGAATGATTATTTACGTGGTTTCCTTTTTGCCTAGTATGAGATGCTGTCCTCCAAGAAAAGATTTATGTTTGTGTTTGCCAGGCTTCTAGGCACATCAGGCTCAGCTGCTCCCAACAACAAAACTTAAACTATTAAAAGAAAAAACAAAATCTTGGCTTTCTTGGTCAAAGACAGGTGGAACCCTGAGACTGTGGTTCTTGGTCAGCTTTAAGAGGTGGAACTGAACTCAGCCCTACAGTTCAATTTTCAAACAAGCAACAGATAGATATATAAAGGGCAGTAACACTACTGAGGTATGCACACCTTAGGATGATCAACTATTCAAGATGGAAAGGGCAGCATTTACCAAGAAACAAAGTTAAGAAAGGTTGGAAAGGAAAGGAGGAATGGAAACAAGCAACAAAGGGGAGAAGTGGGATAAGTGATTTGATATCGAAGGGATTGCAATCATTGAGATGAAACAAAGTACATGATTTGTTGAATGTAAAACTGATGATCTGCTCTGTAAAGTTTTACTCAACTCAAAAAATTTAAAAAATAGAGACAAAAATGAACTTGTCTTTTTATCATAGAAATAAACATTTATTTTGATGACAGTAGCAATGTCACTGCCACAACCACATCTGAACAGGTGTTGTACATCATTGCAGGAGACAACTTTACTTTTTTGTTTTCTCTTTTATAAGTTTAAGAGAAAAGAACACTTTGTAACACTATAATCCTTAACATCTATGAAGAAAAGCTTCAATTCAAGTTTAAATATTTTTTATTTTATTGAAGAAAGTACAAAATACTGAATTCTACATTTTAAACACTATTATTTTAAGAATCAGTCAAGTCTCTTCATATTGCCAGTATATTTCTAATGCTGCCATGACTTAAATAGTATATATCTTTTAAAAATCTTGTATCCTGAAAAAGAAGAAGAAAGTGTAAGTTTCTATTTTTATCATTGTTGAATTTTACTAATACTTTCAGAGTAAAAAGTGTTGTCGAATTGGTTCCAACTGATAGCTACCCTGTGTAGGGTTTCTGGGGAGCAGCTGGTGGGTTTGAACTGCCAACTTTGCAATTAGCAGTTCACTGTTTATCCTACAGCACCATGCCAGGACTCCACAAAGTACGTAGTGTAGTGATAACTTTGCTATCATATTTTCTATCTTAGAGGCACTGTGTGATTGGTTTCCTCATATCTGACAACATACTAATTCTTTTCAGTTCTGACAAGTCTATAAATTCTTTTGAGATAATTTTAATGACTGTTTTTCATTTTTAGATTTCCAAATTTGCTTTCCCCACTTCTCACAAAGCAACAATCTCTGTTTTTATTTTTTCAGCACTTCAAACATGTTTATCATAAAACCCTTTTTGGATTGCTTCATCAATGCTCTCCTTCTTGGGGCATGAAATTAGTATTTGTTACTGTGCTATTTTTCAAGGGTGAAATAGCTGCTGGATCCATTGCATGTCCGCTATTCTTGAACACTTTAAAATCATACACTGTCATTTCATCTCAATGATTATAATCCCCTTAATGTAATAAAATCATTTATCCCACTTTCTCTCTGTGTTTCTTGTTTCCATTCCTTCTTCTTTCCCAACCCTTCTGAATTTTGTCCTTAGGTAAATGCTGTCCTTTTGATTTTGAATAGTTGACCATTGTTCTTGAACCCTTTTTTTAAGATCAGTTTTCCAGCATGACACTTGAGAAACTTTAGCCCAACTGTATAGGTTAAAATTTATTCTTCCCAGAGTTCTTACAGTTTACTCTTTTCCTCCTTGTCTGTGTGCAGGCTAGGCAAATGTTCTGTGTCAGTGCTGCATCCTCAGATTTGTAAATATGGACTTAAGTGCCCATGTATCTATCACACTGTTTGGGAAATCTAGCATTTCTATGGGTCTGGAGTAGGAGGCAGGGTTTTCTGTGTTAGCTCAATTCACCACCATCTTAGCAGGAAGTGTAACACTGCAGCATAATGTGCTAGATCACAAGGTTGTTTTGAACCACAAGGTTGGTGATTCAAATCCACCAGCTGCTACTCAGAAACCCTACACAGGGTCCCCATGGGTCAGAACCAATTCTACAGCACTGAACAAAACAAACCCTCCCCACCTCCCGGCTTTTAACACTTAACAAGACATCTTAAAAACAGTTCACATATTCCTAACACTGCAGAACATACCAATGAACCATAATTTTTTTCATCTAATCCCCTAATGAACATTTGTCTTTTGCTACCATAAGTACTGCTGCTATAAATATTTACTTGTATGTGCAAACACATTTCTAGACTACATTCCTGGCTGAGGAACCAAAGAGTATATGTGTTGGTAATAGATCACCAAATTGTTCTCCAACGAGGCTATATTAATTTATAGCTCTGCCAATTATATTATAAATCATTCTGTACACTTTGAATTCATTCTCTCAGCTCTAAATAAGTACAACCTCTAAATTTAATAAGATTGCAAGAAGACTCTTAAAGATATTGCTGAGTTAAGCAAATCAAAAAGCCTACTTTAAGAGAAAGTACGCATGTGAAAGTCCATGAGTGAGTTAGTAAAGTTTTACCTCCAGTGGCCTGGTCCCACTTTTCAACATACACATTAGTAATAAAATGTCTTGGGTTTTCCTTGAGGTCTTCCTAATTTTTTTTCCATTTCCTTTTTTTGTTTATTGGCCTTATATCGCTCAGCCATTGATACAAGATCCTCTGGGACACTCTGAAATCATTAAACGTGGTGATAAGATTCTGATTATTGTCTTTCACTATTACGGCTTTCCTACAATATGCTAAAATGCCTCCAAATTGTTTCTGCACAAGTGTTAGATAACATTTTACATTTTTCAGACACAGTGAAATTTGTCTCCTTGCCTATTAACCCCTGAATCCATCTTAAAGCTAAATAACCAGAGTGACCTTCAAAACACCCATCATTCTGCTACTTCCCAGCGTGTGCAGCCCAGTGCCCTTAGCATGCCCTCACCTAGCCACACGTTCTGCCTATTCTCTCTCACCTCTGAGCCTGAACAGGTTCCCTCTGCTGGAACACGTTCCCCATCTTCTAAGACTCTCTTCAGCCCCACTTCACGGGTTTCTTCCTCAGCAGGGCTTTGACTAACCCCTCCCGATTAGATTAGGTCACCTGGTTATATGCTCCTGTAGCTCCTTACCTCTGCCATGCTATAGCCCTCACAACATGTTTAATTACTTGTTTAATACTTCTCGTGAGAAGCAGTAAGCTCCATGAGTAGGGTGTTTCCCCAAAATTACATTCCTAACTGGCATAAACAAAATAATGAAACATTGCAAAAGTGATATCTTCAAATAAGTGATATATTCTCTCACCTGATTCGCTCTTTCTAGAATATTAATCAATTCAGTGGCAACCCTCCAGTCATTTCTGGTAATAAGAGTGATTGACACACCAGTTCTCCTTTAAGTAGGGGAGAAAGATCAACTCATATAATTTGTTTTATAATTTATATTCATGATTCAGTTAGCCAAACAGTAGAATAAAAAACAGCAGCAAAACTTCTAGCACACAAATGCAAATATTTATTAGTTGTGGCTCTGTAGAATAAGCATTAGACTGCCAAACACAAGGTCGGTGGTTCAAACCCACAGGCTGCTTGTTGGAAACCCTATACAGGGTTGCTATGAGTTGGAACCAATTCCACAGCACTTAACAATAGCAACAAATTAAGAATTAAATTTAAGTAAACCAATTTGAAAGCAAAATAACCTGAAACTGAGTATATGATACGTGTAAGAGGAGGAGAAAGACCTCTCTCATATGAATGCTAATTTAGAGAATTTGTCAATAATATTCAGAGTCGTCACTGAGAACAGCTCAACAATGTGAAACTAAATATATGAAGCAAGGAGCCCTGGTAGCATAGTGAGTTATGGGTTGGGCTGAAAACTACAGGGTCAGTAGTTCAATTCTACCAGCCGCTCCACAGGAGAAAGATGAGAATTTCTGTTCCTGTTAAGCTTTACAGCCTTGGAAATCCTGTACAGGGTCACTGTGAGTCAGAACTGACTCCATGGCACACCACCACCACCACCACCACCATAGATACGAAGCAGAGTGGAATCAGAATCCATTTATAAAGCTAATTATTGACAGATCTGGTTGAATCTGGAGCAGACCAGTTGGATAGGGCTAAAATATCTCAAGCAGGCTCTGAGGAGAAACAAACAGTTCACAGAAAAGAGAACAAAATGGTTTTCTGGTCAAGGGTAATGGGAAGGATGGGAAATCCACTTTTGAGAGTGGATGGTAGTTACTCACCCTGCTCTTCCAGTGCGCCCTACTCTGTGGACATACTCTTCAATGTTCCGGGGAAAATCATAATTATAGACATGCGTGACATCATGGACATCAAGACCTCGAGATGCTAAGTCAGTAGCAATCAATATTCTCACTTTACCTAAAGGGTAAAGCCGAGTACATATGGATACAATCTAGCATATATCAACCCAAGACAGCTTCCCGTATTATGTAAGCAGATGAACATACTGCTTAATTAACATGTTTACTAAGATACTAAAAACTGGAAAGGAATATTTAATGCCTTTTTTTTCAACTACTGTTTATAATACAACATGTATTATAGTTCAGCAAATGATCCTGAACAATTTCAAGAACTAATATACATCTAAAACTGAAAAACAACTACCATTTTTTAAGTATAGAACAGTATTAAACATAGTTTTTTTTTTTTTCCTTCTCCCTTTATTTATTTATTTATTTTATTAAATGTTTCTATTTTGGATTGAGTGAAAGTTTACAGGGCTAAATATAGTTTTGGAGAAGGAGTTGGAAGAAGAGGGCAAGTTACTTAATATGATGTTTAAAACACCCTTGAGGATACGAGTAAATTAGGAATTAGCAAAATATCTCTGTCCAAAACAGTAACAATTTATCTGGAGGTTTAGGATCAGAGGAAACTTTCTTTATTGTGGAAAAAACTCATAATGAGCATTGTTTCCAAGTAATCTAACTGGATTCCAGAACAGAGACCAAAACATATTTAAAGGCATATGAACAATCAGAGTACTCAAAATATAAATTTTACATTTTCTGGCATCCAAATAAAAAATGGAAAATAGAAAAATATGACCTATAACTAGGAGAAAAAAATAAAATAAACAAAACAGAAATTACACCAATGACAAATTAGTAACTAAGTTAATTAACCGTTACCATAACTATATTCTTAGGGAGGTGCTGTAGGATAAGCACTGGAGCACAAGGTCGGTTTGAACCACAAGGTCAACTTGAGCTACAAGGTCGGCAGTTCAAACACACCAGCTGCTCCTTGGAAACCCTACACAGGGTTGCTATTATGAGTCAGAACCAACTTGACAGCACTTAACAAAAATATAACCATAGTCCATATCACGGGTATGACAAGCCAATCTTCTAGAAATGAAAAATAAAATCTATGTTTGGGATGAATTGGGTGAAATTAACAGCAGACTAATATAAAAGATCAGTGAATTTACTTAAAGGCAGAACAATAAAAACTATATAAAATGGACGAGAAATTTTCTGAAAATAATGAAAAGAACATCAGTGAGCTGTGGGGCAACTTCAAATAGTCTAATATTTATGCAATTAGAGCTTCTAGAAGAAAGGAGGAAATGGGAAATATCTGAAGAAATAATACTCAAAAATTTTCCAAATTTGATGAAAATTATATTCCCACAGACCCAGGAATTTCAGTGACTCCAAGCAGGAAAGCAAACAAACAAAACCAAAACAAAGAGACATCACAATCAAAATGTTTACAATCAGTGATAATTAGGTGAAGTACACTGTGGTAAATTAAAAATGTATACTATAGATATTGTAGTAGCCACTAAAGCAAAAAAAGCAAAGAAGTATAGTTCATAAAGGACTCCTAGTATGGTGCTGTGGGATCAGCACTGGGCTGCCAACCACAAGGTTGGCCCTTCAAACCCACCAGCTGCTCCTTGGAAACCCTATACAGGATCACTATCAGTTGGAACCAACTTGAACACACTAACATCAATAAATTTATTGGTTCATAAACCAATAAATGAGATAAAATTAGAATCATAAAAAATACTCAATCCAAAATAAGGTAGAATAAAAAAACAAGTGATCTAAAAAGATGGTAGTTAAAATTGCAAAGTCATCTATAATGACAAACTACGGAACACTGGTTACCCAAGGATGGTGGAGAAAAAAAAAGGGATAGATTAAAAACTTCTAGAAACTGCAAGATGATGGAAATGCTCAGTATCTTGATTGTAGTGATCGTTTTAGTGATGTAGATGCATGTCAAACTCAAACTGTATACATTAAATATGTGCGCTTTCCTGTCTGCTGACTTTACCTTAATAAAGACATTATAAAAGGTATGGTCAACAATCTACTGATGTGCTTCAATCAAAAAGAATGGGGTGAACGTGGCCCTAGTCACTGTTGCAGAGAAGAGGTTAGTCATCACACACCAGGATGAAACAATCCATGGGGCTATCTACTGCACTCTGCTCATCAAGCAATCTTCTGAATTCTCTGGCCTCCCAGGTGGATACCACGAAGGTATATGCTTCTCAGGTAAGGGAGTAGATCCATCCCCGGTGAAAATTAATACCTTGGCATTCCGCCTTTTAAGTATTAGTCTTTTCTGAGTTTGGCTATTTAGTTCTGAGTCTGATAAATATTTAGACCTCTGAGTTTGGGAATCTGGAAGCTAAGATCTGTATCTTAGAAAGGGGTTCTGTACCTCAGTGAAGTCCAAATATTGGTCATACTTTTAAACTGGAACAAATTGTGATTATATAATTGTACCTGTTTTAAAGTTCTCTAATGCTTTTTCCCGATCACTCTGTTCTCTATTGCCATGAAGAGATTCGACTGATATGCGTCGGAGAATCAGGTCACTTGATAAATGATCAGCACTAAAGGAAAAAAAAGTTGGTACTATTCTAATACCATCATTAATTCATTTGCTGTACTTACATTAGCAAAAATCTGGACTAAAATATGACAACAGACATACCCTCCACCATTTGAAATTAGTTTACAAACAGAATGAATCATAATCAGATTTAGTGTGATTGATGATCATCAGAGGATAAAAGGAAAAAAATACCTACATAGCTTTTCTGCTGACAAACACAATGACTTTGTCTTTGGGAGACATGCTTTCCAGGAAAATCTGAATATGACTACGTTTTTCTTCTTCTGTTGTGACAATTACATTTTGCTTCACAGTACTTACAGCCTAAAGGATTCAAAAATCAGAATGCATTACTATTGTGGCAGGAATCATATATGCTCTTGTTAAGTGCCATTGAGTTGGTTAAAACTCATAGAGACTCCGTATAAGGTTTCCAAGGCTGTAAAATTTTACAAGAACAGAAAGCTTCATCTTTCTCTTGCAGAAGCTATATATACTAGCCCCAAATACATCTTATTTCTATCATTGGTGACTATTTTAATAAACTATAAACAAATAAAAAGGCAGAGGTCTTAAAAAAATTACCTCTTTCTAGTTAAAGTTTGTAATTTAGCCTTTCACTTTCATCATCTGTTTACCCAAAATAAAAAAGTGGGGGATGTTTAAGTTTTTGGCACATTGTGTTGAAAGAAACTGACTACCATAGGAAAAGAAAATAACCACGGGATGAAGCCAGGATTACGGAAGGCAATCAGTTTATGACAAAAAAGTCTCAATTCAATTGATATTTTAACAACTTAATGTTGTTGTTAAATGCTGTTGAGTCGGTTCAGATTCACAGTGACCCTGTATAGGTTCCAAGGAGTGGCTGGTGAGCTTGAACTGCCAACTTTGTAGTTCAAACCGACCTTGCAGTCCATTCCATTAGCACACAGCGTCAAAATACCATTGTTACTATTCTTTGATCCAGGAAGAGATAAAATATTGCCCATTTAAATAAAATTTGTTTTGGTAGTATTTTACGAAAAGAAAGAATGATAATTGAAAGAAAGAATTATACGAAAAATACAGACACTATGGAAAAGGAGTATAGAAAGAATTGTATTTGTCAACTCATAGTGAAATTATGGCACTAGGAAATAACCATCATTGGTGAAAGGCCATCAGGGAACTTTATAATGGAGAGGTCAGGCTGAAAACATTTTTTTTTAGTTTTTTTTCCCTCTCTTTTTTAAAAAATGTTTTATTGTGAATTATGTGATAGTTTACATGGGAGATCATTAGCTTTACATTTATCTTATCATATATCGTTACATTGCCATGGTTACAATCCCCTCCATGCATCATCAACCAACCAAAGCGTATACTCTACAAGCCTGCCCCTCAGTAGTCAGCACACAGCCTCTCTTCCTCTCTGGGTCTAGAGTCCCCAGCCACTCCATGTCTCCACGTCATCATCTCTGCCTCCATCTCTGGTGTCACTGTTTCTCTGGGTAGGGTCCCGCACTCTGCTCTTCTCCCTTTATGGTCCCAGGAACCTCCACTCCTGGACTGCAGAGTCAACCACTCCCCTCTTTTGCTACAAAACGTCTACATTTCCAACCCTCACAGTCAGTCTTGATAGTAATTAATTATTCACTATTGTATCACATGAGTGCTATCCCCATCTCCAATCAGTCCCACCCAGACAGATTGGATACCACTCAGTGGAGATTCTACCTTCCTCTGCGCCCTCTGGATCTAGGCTCCCTCTAGAAAGCTTGTAAGCCAGTCACTTCTTGCCTTTGTAGCCCATTTTGGGTAGCCAATGTCCAAGCTGTCCATCCCTGTCTACCTTGTATATTGAGGGGGTGGGAATGATCCTTGCTGTAAAGATTTGTTTCCTCTTTTGAGCTACTGCATCCATAGGTGTAAGTCAAGTTCATCAAATGTTATCAGATTAGGCTGAAAATATTTAAACCCTTTGGTAAATCTTAACATCACAAAGTGTGTTAGACTTTCATTCTATTGATGCAAAAACAATAAACATCATCTCCAAAGAACTTTTTTTGTAAAAAGAACCAGAAAACAAGCTAGGATCTGAAAAAGTTTCTATATTTAATTACCATTTATAAGACATCTAGGAATAGAGAACATATGTAATTATTCTGTGGAAATCAGCTAAATGAGGCAAACTCTATAGATAAAAACAGTTTCCTCTACCAATAAGTTGAGCATACACAAAGGCTGGGAGATCTACAGATAAGAGATTAAAAGATATAGCAACCAAATATGCACATATGTAGGCCTTGTTTAGACCCTGACTCTAACAGGTTTTAAAAAAATAGAAAGAAAGCTACTTTATTAGAAAAATATGAACATGGATTGAATATTTGATGATATTAAGGTATTTTTAAATTTTTAAAGGTGCGTTAATAGTGCTGTGGTTATGTAAAGTCTTTTAGGGAGACTTAATGAAGTATTTACTAATTAAATTATATGGACCTAAGAATTGTTGTAAAATTAGGGACTGGGCAGAGTACACATGCCAAAACTGGCTAACTTTAAATTTCCATAAAAAGTTTTAAAAACAGTACTTAAAAAAAATAAACAAACAAGCTTACAACTAGATCCAAAGTACCAACATATACAATCATAGGGTCTCTCAAATAAGACTCCGCAAGTCGACGGACAGCATGTGGCCAAGTTGCACTGGAAAGAAAGCAAGATACACAACTGTAGATGAAATTGCTACAAGTTTCTTTTTAAACATGCTATGAATCAATTATTCATGAAAACCAAATAGTGTACTTCCTATCTTTTCAATAAATACGGCAGATGTCACAAATAATTTAATTTTACCAAGAATTCCTCAAGTATAATGAAGCTACTGGATAAAATGTTTTTTAAAAAATAGGTTGAATAAAGAACGGGTGAAGGAATCTTCTAATGTATGGAAAGGTATTAGAAGTAGTTCTAGTTTAAAATTAGTTTTATACCTTGGACTTTGTAAAGACAAAAATAACAACTTAATTTCATACAATGATAACAGACAAAACCAAGTGTGTATGCTACATAAAAATAATTTTAAATGTGATCCAAAAAATGTGCAAATTCAAAGACAGAAAAATAAAGTAAGTTTCTTCAACCTTACATAACATAATAAAGTTATAACGTCACCTTTTATACTTTCAGAATAAATCTGAAGTGATACTTCTTGCAGTGGAAAGATTAGTTAGAAAACAAAGTAGAAACACAGCATATTTCCCCACATATTATATACTGTGCTTCTTAATGCTAATGAACACAATGATGCATGTTCAGGAGAAATGAGTCTCTATGGATTATTCAGTATCCAAACAACAATCATTGCCTCCTCAGTTTTACCTTGGGCCAAAAAAAAGTATCCAGTAGTTAAATGTTTATCTCTAAGTGTGATGTTGATAAGTGCCATTGAGTTGATTCCAACCCATAGCAACCCCATATCGGGTTTCTGAGGAGTGACTGGTGAGTTTGAACTGTCAACCTTGTGGTTCAAATAAACCTTGTGCTACAGTGCTTATCCTACAGTGTCACACCAGGATTCCATCTCTAAATATAGGTGATTACTTATTTAAATGTTGTTAAGTGTCATCAACTTATTTCTAACTTATAGTGTTTCTGAGACAATGAATCTTTGCTAGAACAGAAAGCCCTATCTTTTTCCCGAGGAGTAATGTGACTCAAACCATGCACTTTGTTGTTTATCCTACAGACCCACCACCCTCCCCATTTAAATGTTGCTGTTGTTAAGTGCAATTGAGTCAGTTCTGACTCATAAAGACCTGTACAGGGTTTCCAAGGAGGAGCTGGTGGATTTGAACCACTGACCTTATGGTTAGCAGTCCAGTGCTTATCCTACAGCACCACACCAGGACTCCATCTGGCTAACTAATGGTTACTAAATCTATTTAATGGAAAAATTTTTATATCTAAAATATTAAAGAGTTAGACCCTAAGATAACATACAATCTTCCCTTAAAGAGTCTCCTGTTGATGTTTATATAAGAATCTCTATCTGTAATTTAGGAAATCCATTAGTTAAGAATAGAACTGTCATTGTTAGGGTGTTACATTTAGTTACTAAACTAAGTGATGACATGATAATCATTCACCTAAAAATCTCAAAACACTTCTAAGTAATGCCTGAAAATATTGTTGGAAATTAGCTAAACAGAATGGAATTCTGTTCCACTAATTTTGATTTTACAGGCAGTATATACCTACCTTGTCATAATTGTCTGCCTGTCTGGACGTACATCTAATAAAATCTTCATTATCTGTGGTTCAAATCCCATGTCCAGCATTTTGTCTGCTTCATCTAAAACCTACATTAAAAATAAAGAATGTGCCTAGATTATTAGGCTCTTTAAGAATAGAACACTAAAAGGTAGGTTTTCGCATGTGTCCTATTACTTAAGCCATAGATAGATGGAATGAATTTCTCAATTCTCATGTTTACATAGATGTTACATGTTGGCCTGCTAACTGGTCAGCAGTTCAAATCCACCAGCTGCTTTGAGGATGAAAGAGAAGGCATTCTGTTCACATATTTATAGCCTTGACAACCCTACAAAGGGTCTCTATGAGTTGGATTCAACTTGATGACAGATTTTTTTGTTTTCCTAAGTTCTAAAGTCCAAGCTTCCTAGCACTTCTTCAGTAGGCCCTGTGTGAAAACTTGTTTTAATTTTTCAGAGGTCAATTAAGCCAACTTGGTCATAAGTAACATAGATTATTATTATTATTTTTAAGCTGGCTGGCTGTTATTGTTAAGTGCTATCAAGTCAGTTGTGACTCACAGAGACCCTGTACAGGATCTCCAAGGAGCAGCTGGTGGAATTTAAGCGCTGACTTTTCGGTTAGCAATCCAGTGCTTATCCTATAGCACCACACCAGGACGCCATCTGGCTTACTAAAGATTATTAAATCTATTTAGTGGAAAAAATTAATGTCTAAAATATTCAAATGGATTTTAATTTTCCTTAGTGCTTGATACATTTTCTAAAATTTCTAAAATAAATATGTCATCATTATGAAAAAATAGAATTATTTAAAATTTTTTTATTTTAACTTGTTAGAGAGAATGAGAAATAGTACTAGAATCTTAAACTACTATAAAATGGACAACCCTTTTAAAAAACCATTTTAATAAAAGTTTAGTTCTTCTTCCTCCCAGCATCCCAAACCCCTCCTACTCCATAATTACCAAGTAGGTTATGCTTTTCAGGTTGACAAAGTTATTCATTTGCAGATCATTCAATCTTCCAGGAGTTGCAATAATGATATCTACACCCTTTGTAAGGTCTTGTATTTGTCCGTCTCTATCTCCACCACCATATATACAAACACTTAACGACAACAAAAAATCCAAAGTTCATGTCCATGCAAAAATCCCATCACAATCCAAAATCCTAACCAATGTAAGCATTTAGAGTATACAATAATATAGAGTAAAAGGTATAAAAATCTTAAAGAGGACCAGATGTCGTTTTCATTTTTGCCCCTTTCTGAGAACTATTCACAACCATCAACCCATAGGGTTGGGTCTCAAAGAGGCATGTCCATATCCTGATTACCTGACCTTACCACCCTGGGTACAGAGAAACGCCAGACACAAGCTGACCCGATCCGATTCTCTAAACAGGGAGGATGCATAAAGCTACAATGATGAAAACAATGTAACACTCGCTGGTACTGTTGTTGCTGCTGGTAACAGGAATGGTCACAGACCTGACTTACCTTTTAAGACCTTTATATGAATACTTAGAACATTCAGCTTCTACTTGAAGCGCTAATTCTCTAGTAGGTGTAAGGACTAGCATGCCAGGTCCAAGACTTTTAGCTCTAGATCTTTGGAGAGAAAATAAAATCATTAGTATTTAATTATCTGCCTCAAAACATAATATATTCACTCAGTGCTTTAAAGATGTGCAGTAATTAGATTCTGACATATTTGTATGGGTCCAGCAAAAGGAGGAATGATGCTGATAGAATTTTTGATTCAATTTTGAGTGACTGTCAGCAGGATTAACTGTGATTGTCAGAACTGAAATTGTAGATGTGCAACTAAAAGGGGGGAGTAGTTAATGTTTCATTTCAGAAACAGAGGGTCCCAGGACCATCAAGAAGAGTATGAGAGGAGCACCAGATGCCTCCCTAGGAAAGTGACGACAGCAGAGAAGGTGGTAGAGGCAGCGGCATGGAAAGACCAAGGCCCATGGACTGAGTGTGGCTGTGTGCCTGCAGACAGGAGGCTGGCTTACACAGTGTGCCCTTTGGATACTTAAATGAATGTATATATTTTGTTTTCTATGTGTACATCATACATTTTTGCCTGTTCATTTGTGAAATATAAGACTTTAAATGGGAACCACAGGGAGGAAGTAGGATAACTATTGTTGCAGGGAGGGGATTATAATCAATGAGATGAAACAAAGTATATGATTTATTTAATGTAAACCTGATGTTCTTGTCTAAAAACTTCCACCCAATTCACAATAAAAAGTTATGACAACAATGCCTACAGCCTGACATGGATTACACCTCAACATCAAGAAAACAAAAATCCTCACAACTGGACCAATAAACAATATCATGAGAAACAGAGAAAAGATTAAAGTTGTCCAGGAATTCATTTTGCATAGATTGGATCCACAATCAATGACTAGAGAAGTTGCAGTCAAGAATTTAAATGACATATTCCACTGGGCAAATCTGCTGCAAACAATCTCTTTAAAGTGTTAAAGAGCAAAAGTGTCATTTTGAGGACTAAAGTGTGCCTGACCCATGCCATGGTATTTACAATCACCTAAGCATGTAAAAAAAGCTGGACAAAGAAGACTGGAGAATTGATGCCTTTGAATTATGGTGTTAGCAAAGAATAATGAATATACCATGGACTGCCAAAAGAACAAATAAATCTGTATTGGAAGAACTATAGTCAGAATGTTCCTTAGAAATGAATATGGGAAGACTTCATCTCACATAATTTGGATATGTTATCAGAAGGTACCAGTCCCTGAAGGGCATCCGGTTTGGTAAAAGTGCTGTTAACTGCCATCGAGTTCATTTCCAAGGAGCAGCTGGTGAGTTTGAGCTGACAACCTTGTGGTTCAAACCAACTTTGGGGTCCAGTGTTTTATTTTACAGCACCATACCAGGACTCCCAGTAAAAGTATAAGGTGAGCGAAAACCAGAAAAACCTTCAACGAGATAATGGCTGCAACAATGGGCTTAAACATTGAGAAGATTATGAGGATGGTACAAGACTGGCTAGTGTTTTGTTCTGTTGTATACAGGGTCATTAGGAGTCAGAAACCAACATATCTATTTAGCCCCCAAAAGAGAATCTAATCAGGAATTCTTACAGTGGTTGAGAGTCAAGATGAATAAATCCAGGCATTAAATAGGACAATGTCTTCCCAGTTCCAGTTTGGGCTACTCCTATAAGATCTATTCCTTGAAGAACTATTGGCCATGTCTGGGACTGAAACAGAATAATAAACATTTAAACAGAAAGTACATCTCTTTTTGCCAAGGGTCCCTCCTTTCCCAACAAAATCTTATTTCAACAAATATTTGTGGAGAATGTTTCTTGGTGGCACAGTCCAAACCTAGGCAGAAGCACCAGGGAAGAAAGTTCCAGTGATAACGTCTGTGAAGAAAGCTTACAGTCAAGAAAACCCTATAGAGTAAATCTATTCTGTAACCTGTGGGGTTGTCATGAGTAGGAATCAACTCAATGGTAACAGATTTGGGGAGGAGGTGGTATGGGAGTGCAAGCTCAGTGAAATTTTAGAATGAAGGAAATCATACCTGAATTGGTGTTGGTTTTTGAAAACCTGCCCTTATTATATTTTCCATGACTTCGGGATAACGCTGAAAAGCATCCTCAAATTTACAGGTAGGATTAGGGATAGGACGTTTATCACCATCTTTCAAGTCATCACACATTACATTATAATTTTCCTTCCTTTAAAGAAAACAGAACAAAGATTAGTGGCTGCAATCATTTTACTAATTAAGAAAGGAGTTTTTCTCAAAATTAGTTATTCAGGTTATATCTAGAAAATCAACTGTGACCGATTAAAACAGAGTACCATGGAAAGTGACAGCAACATGCAATAACTAACAAACAAAAAGTTATTTTCTTTCCTTATCTGAGAATAGTTACAGAGAAGAGATAAAAATATATATATACATACAAAAAGCAACTTATATTGAAGTATGAAAAGGCCAATGAAAGTCTCATGGATGAAAGATTATGAAGAAAGAAATATCATAATTCAACATCATATTTGGGCTACCCTTGAGGGCATATAATGTTCCAGAATCTACATTGGGGCTCACACATTTTCTTAATTAAGCAACAATTCCGTGAACTAAAAATTATTCTCATTTGACAGGGTAAGATCTGTTACTTGCTCAAGTTTCTGAGCACTACCCTATCCATGGAATAACTATTCTTTTACTGTAACATGCTATGCCTGGGCTTTTAAACAATTTTTTAAAAGCAATTCCAGATAAGGAGGATTAAGGAGTTTTGGGAGAGTTATTCCAACACTTAGATAACAGATCAACTTAACATTTCACAACAAGTTGAAATAATAATCCTCTAAATGCTCTCTTCTGTACAAGTGCTCAATAGCACCACATGAGTAGTGACTAGTCTATGAGACACAATTACAAACCATGTTCCATTACCACAGACACTTCCAATGGGTGGCAATACTCTAAAATATCTCATGCAGTGGAGGGGATTGCAATCATTGTAGTGAAACAAAGTATATGACTGTTGGATGTAAAACTGAGGATCTGCTCTGAAAATCTCTACTCAACTCACAATCCAGTTTTTAAAATAAAAGAAAACATCTCATGGGATGCGATCAAGTTGGTTTTTTTTTTTTTTTTGGTTGGTTGGTTGGTTGCAAAATGTGAACAACACATTTCTGATTTAACATTTTTCCCATGAACAATTAGTGGCATATATTAATTTATCAGATTGGACAACTATCATCAGTATAGAGCACAACCAAGTTTTCATTTAAATAAATATGGAAGGGATAGTCTTTCAATTATTTCAGATTTTTACCTAAGGAGTCAATTTAATACTAATCACATACAAGAAGCTCACTTAAACAGGTAATAAAAAGAAACCTACCCACCTCCAATTGTCTATTTGCACTTGTGACATAGAGCTTGTTTCTGCAGATTCTATGTAAAAGTTTTTCTTAATTGGAGGCAAATCTTGTAGAAAGAGAGAAAAAAAAATCAAATTTGATAATACTTAAGGTTATAGTTGTCAAACTGAAATATGTATTCTAACTTTATCCTATATACATACAGTGTTGGGCAGTCTACATTTTGCCAAACTAATGCCAATTTCTAATTGATGCCCTTTTTAGTTTATTTTTCAATTACATTTTTTACACAATGAGATCTTTAATACTGAATTTCAAAATAAAAGAAGGCAGATCTTACAAGACATAGAATTTCCACAATTGATACATCATTTCTCAAACATACTGTTGTTGTTAAGTGCCATCAAGTCAGTTACAACTCATAGCGACCCTGTATAAGGTTTCCAAGGAGCACCTGGTGAGTTTGAACCACCGACCTAGTGATTCAAACAGACCTTGCAGTCCAGTGCGTGATCCGACAGTGCCACATCCACCAGGACTCCTTATCAAAAGTTATTATTGTTAGGTGCCATCGAGTTGGTACCGACTCATAGCGACCTTATGCAAAGCGGAACGAATCACTGCCCGATCCTAAGCCAACTTCACTTTTGTTGCCATGCTTGAGCCCACTGATGCTGCCACTTGGCCAATCCATCTTGTTGGGGTCTTCCTCT